TGAAAACACATTTCCTTGTTAAAAACCCACTAATAATATTGTCAATTCTTTAATAATTTTAGAGATCTAAAGTACCTTGTAAGATACTACTTGGGTATTCTCTGGACAAACATGCGGGCATTTTCATTGGCTGGCAACCATTATGTGAAAACAAAACTCTCAGAAAACTGTACTTTAGGAGAGAACATATATAAATTTGGTTGCTCAGGATTACTTCAAAGTTGAGTTTGTGCTGTTTCCTTGACTTTAGCTGCATTCACTGACTTCAATCGGCGTTCCACAGCAGTTTAAGATGTATTCATTTCATGGGAAACTAGGATAAAATACCCTACAACAGACAAAACAGGCTATTTTCACTCCATTTTGTTCATTGTTTTTTTCTAAACCAAGTACTATGACCCCAACTGGTGGTAAACTTAAGATGACCTTATTTTATAATTAAGCAGCATGAGAACTTCTGAGTTATTTTCATCAGTAGCTGGTAGTTCCATTGACTGAAAAAAAACTCTGTATGGTCTTCAATCGAATTTTCAATTACCATTTCATCATTATTAATAGGGCCATTATTATAGAAACAGGGTTTTCGTTAGAAGCCGGTCGCCGGCTTATTTCCCGTCTACACAATCTCGCATGGCCGTCTACTGTTGCAGAATTCAATTGCAGGTCATAGGTCACACATGTTGTCACGTGGTTGATTGGAAAATGGCATCCAAACGTAGGATCACACAGAGAAACAAGACGGGAATAAAATGTATAAATAAAATGATCACAAATAAAATCTTTCACAATAAACAAATTACTATTTTGGTCTTTATTTAAACCACATGCCCACATGCAAAATGAGCAAAAATATATTCAAACCTGCCACCAAAATTGTCTTGCACTTTCTAAAAGTCTTCGGTCTACGGAAGGGGGACACCCTACTCCTGTCCTCCTCCCGCGAAAGCAACATGCTCACATTGCGCTGCGATATTATTGTTATGCATTATTAACTATGATACTCATTGCAGATAGATAACATTTTTGTTTCTGTATTTTTCATTAGTTAATAGTCCTTATAGATGCCAGCTATGTAATAAGTCTTTCTTT